AGTTTCTCTCCATTCAGTTTGATGTTAGCTGTCAGCTTGCTGTAAATAGCTTTTATTATATTTAGGTATGATCCTTGTATCCCCAATCACTTCAACACCTTTATCATAAAAGGGTGTTGAATTTTGTCAAATGCTTTTTCAGCATCCAATGTAATGATCATATGGTTTTTTTCTTTCAGTTTATTTATATGATGGATTACATTGATAGATTTGCATATGTTGAACCAGCCCTGCATTTCTGGGATGAAGCCTACTTGATCATAATGGATAATTTTTCTAATGTGTTCTTGGATTCGGTTTGCCAGGATTTTGTTGAAAATTTTTGCGTTGATGTTCATGAGTGAGATTGGCTTGTAATTCTCTTTCTTGGTTGTGTCTTTATGTGGTTTTGGTATCAGGGTAACTGTAGCTTCATAAAAAGAATTTGGCAATGACTCTTTTGTTTCTATATTGTGAAATACATTAAGGAGTATAGGTATTAGCTCTTCTTGGAAGTTCTGGTAGAATTCTACATTGAAACCATCTGGTCCTGGGCTTTTCTTGGTAGGGAGGTTTTTTTTTCTTTTTTTTATTATTATTAGTAATTAATAAAAATTTCCACTTCCTCCCCTCCTCCCAATACCCTCCCACTCCCCCCACTCCCTCTCCTCCTCCCTCTCCAGTCCTAAGAGCAGTCAGGGTTTCCTGCCCTGTGGGAAGTTCAAGTTCCTCCCCTCTCCCTCCAGCTCCAGAAAGGTGAGCATCCAAACAGACTAGGATCCCAAAAAGCCAGTACGTGCAGACAAAAGCAGTCCCAGAGCCATTATCAATGGCTTCTCAGACAGCCCCCATGTCAGCCACATTCAGAGAATCCGGTTTGATCAGATGCTCCTTCAGTCCCAGTCCAGCTGGCCTTGGTGAGCTCTCATTAGATCAGTCCCCTTGTATCAGTGGGTGAGCACACCCCTCACGGTCCTGATTTCCTTGTTCATGTTCTCCCTCCTTCTGCTCCTCATTTGGACCTTGGGGGCTCAGTTCAGTGCTCCAATGTGGGTCTCTGTCTCAGTCTCCATCCATCGTTGGATGAAGGTTCCCTCTGATCCTGACTTCCTTGCTCACGTTCTTCCTCCTTCTTGTTCTCATTTGGACCTAGGGAGTTAAGTCCAGTGTTCCAATATGTGTCTCTGTCTCTATCTCCATCCATCGCCTGATGAGGGTTCTATGGTGATATGCAAAATATTCGTCAGTATGGTTATGGGCCGAGGCCAGTTCAGGCACCCTCTCCTCTGCTGTCCAGGGAACAACCTGGGGAACTCTCCTTGGACCTGGGAACCCCTCTAGAATCAAGTTTCTTGCAAACCCTAAAATGGCTCCCTTAGTTGAAATATATACTTCCCTGCTCCCATATCCATCCTTCCTCCCTCCCCCCATCCCATTCCCCCAAGCCATCCCTAATCCTCCCCTTCTCCCTTCTGTCTAACCATCTCCCCTTACTTCCACACCCCACCCCCCGTTCACCCAAGTTTGCCTGGCAATCTTGTCTACTTCCAATATCCAGGAGGATAACTATATGATTTTCTTCAGGTTCATCTTCTTATTTAGCTTTTCTAGGATCACGAATTATAGGCTCGAAGACCTTTAACTATGGCTAGAATCCACTTATGAGTGAGTACATACCATATTCCTCCTTTTGGATCTGGGTTACCTCACTCAGTAAAGTGTTTTCTATTTCCATCTATTTGCATGCAAAATTCAAGATTCATTGTTTTTTTTTACCGCTGAGTAAAACTCTAATGTATATATGTTCCACACCTTCTTTATCCATTCTTCTATTGAGGGGCACCTAGGTTGTTTCCAGGTTCTGGCTATTACAAATAGTGCTGCTATGAACATAGTTGAACAAATGCTTTTGTAGTGTGAAAGGGCATCTCTTGGGTATATTCGGGGTATATTGGGTAGGGAGGTTTTTGATAACAGCTTCTAATTCTTTGTTCCTTTACCTAGGTTTTCCATATCCAGCCGGTTCTCAGTTTGTGTTTTCTTCATTGCCTCCATTTCAGTTTTCAATTCTTGAACTGTTTCCATTACCTTTTTGATTGTTTTTTCTTGGTTTCCCAGGGTATCGTTTACGGATTCACTCATTTCTTCAAACTTTTTGTTGTACTTCTCATCCAGTTCTTTAAGGGAGTTATTCATATCCTGTTTAAGGGACTCTATTGCTTTCATAATGACACTTTTTTCCACTTCTTCTGGATTAAGGTGTTCAAGTCCTTCTATTGTAGGGTCGCTGGGATCTGGTGTTTTCATGTTGTTTTTCAGATTGTTGGAGGAATTCTTGCCTTGGCGTCTGCCCATCTCTTCCTTCAAATGCTCTCTATTGGATCTTCTGATATCGGGTCAGGTTCCCTTGTTGGGCAGAGACCTCACTGACAGAAGGCCTACCTTTCCTCAGGCAGGCTGTTGAAACACAGGCACTCCTTCCTGCCGGGTTTAGCTTACAGTCCAGTCTAGCATGCAAGGCAGCTGAGCTGGGGGGATTTTATGGCCCCAGGGGGAAGAGAGGAATAGAGGAAAGGGTACCTGGGTGAAAGCTGGAATAGGAGGCAGGAGAGCTTAGCAGGGTGGAGCCACCACTACAGGGTGATCTGGGAGTCAAGGGGGACAGGGAATGTCTGCACTCCTCCTTGCCGGGCTTCTGCCGTGGGTCAGGAGCAAACTCACCCCTCCAAAGGATGTCCACTAGAGGATCAGTGCCCCGTGCTGGCCAGGAATGTCGCTGAGCTGACACAGGGCCTACCTTTCCTCAGGCAGGCTATTGACACACAGGAACTCCTTCCTGCCAGGTTACACTTACAACCCAGTCCCAGCGCGCAAGGCAGCTGAGCTGGGGAAATTTTATGGACCCAGAGGGAAGGAGGAATAGAGGAAGGGGTACCTGGGATAGGAGGCAGGAGAGCTTAGCAGGGTGGAGCCACCCCTGCCGAGTGACCAGGGAGTCAAGGAGGACGGAGAATGTCTGAGCTCCTTCTTGTCTGGGTTCTGCCGAAGGTCAGGAGCAAACTCACCCCTCTGATGGATCTTTTGCTACAGGATCAGTGCCCCTTGCTGGCCAGGATATTTTATATGCCTGATATTTTCTTTTTTTCTTTTTTTTACGCCTGATATTTTAATGTAGGGAATTTTAATACAGAATATTTTTTACACAGAAGAACGATAGGTGAGTGGCACCTCATTGCCTGTTTGCCGGTGTCACGAGTGTCAGCCTGGAAGATCTGTCAAAAGTACTTGAAGGCCTAGAAAGAAATAGCCATGTGCCCTGTTACGCATGTGGGAACCTTTAGATTGTCAGTGTTGTAGTATTAAGATCCATGAGTAAAAGAATGAGTTGTGCCCCGACCCTTCTCTGAGTGATTATCAGCATAGGTCCCATCCTGTTTCTTTTCCATTGCTAGGTTATTTGTATCCCAAATATTAGAGCCTACACTTTTCTCTGTGTGTTGTTTTTTATCTCTGAGATGGAACCTTCTTACATAACCATTAGTCATTTGTTCCTGATCATACTTCCATATGTGGAGTCTTCCTCTCGAGGTCCAGTCAGTGCTCACACATCCAGCTTAACTAAAAAGTATGTTAGTCTCTTTTAATCTCTATTTTTCTTCCCTATGTTAATCATTTCTTGCAGAACTTTGGGTTATCCTTTAGACTGTGACACATTCTGAATTTGGCTAAGTTACTGATGCTATCCTTTAGCATGAATTCCCATTCTTATATTTCAAGGAAGCTGGTCTTTAAATCTAAACATGTAAGGTCTAGTGTGATGGTGACACATGTGTGTACCTGTCATTGGCCAAGGGAGACTCATCATTGTGGACTGTATAATTTGAAGAGTCTGTTTCATGAGATTATTAAATTTTATATGTCTGATGAATGTTTTGCTTGCATGTGTGTGTACAGTGTGTGTGCCTAGTTCTTTGGAGACCAGAAGAAAGCATCAGATCCTCCGGGAGTGGAGTTATAGCTGGTTGTGAGCTACCATGTAGACTCTGCAAGAGCAACAGATGCTTAAACTGCTGTCATCTCTCTAATTCCACTCCCCCCCACCTTCTATAGTCATGCTCAGAGCATGGGCTTGTCTATAATTAAGACAGGTCTTCCCACATCAGTTAACAATTATCAGTGACCGTCACAAGCTCTACTCAGGAGGACCAAGCATCCTGAGTTGGCTTGGAAATGGGTTCAAGAGGTATCCGTATCAACTGAAGCCGAGGGGCAGACAGACATCTACAGCATGTGGAGGCTTCAGAAGAGGGGGTGAAGGTTGCATTATTAGCAGTAGCTATATGTAAGATTCTGTGTTTTCTTTTTTTTTTTAGTTGTCTTGTTCAAATAATGTCATCTGTGTCTATGGTTGGTTAATTAAAATATTTTGTGTGAGGATTCTTTTCCTAGGTGGTATTGGGAGTTTTATGAAATGCATTGTACAGGTATACAGAGAGAAAGAAGATTTAAGGATAAGAACAGTGACCAATCTTTCTCCCTTTAACTCTGAAGGGAGTTGGGATATTTAGACTGGTGTTCCCTGAGGAGCATGTGGCATGTACAGACATCAGTAGGTGACCCAGAGCCAAGGAGACAGACACAGAATGAAGTAGAGATGCCAGGTTCTTACTTGGCATTTAGTTCCCAAGTGAGGAGTTACTACTTTTAGCAAAGCAGCTTCTAAATGCCTGTTTCATAATGTTGACTCCAGTGGGTCCAGCTAACTCCAACCTGGAATATGGTTGCTCAATCAGCGTTGTGCTATGTACTCTTCCTTAGAGTATTGAAAAGAATCCTTTTCTAGTGCACTTAGAAATGTGACTATGTATGATGGATGGCAGGACTGAGGTCTTTGTCAGCGTTCTCTGTCCCCCAACTTAATGGGAAATGCAGTGCGCCATCTTTAAAAACCTAACCTTATGCAAGCTTTCCTGTTTTCCAATGATGAGTCGTTCACTGTGAACTGTGGTACGTTGTTGCAGAGGTGGATGTCCTTTGAGGATGTGACTGTGGACTTCAGCCAGGAGGAGTGGCAGCACCTGAACCCCGCCCAGCGACGCCTGTACCAGGACGTGATGCTGGAGATCTACAGCCACCTCTTGGCAGTGGGTGAGCGCAGCTGGCCTGGGGATCCAGGATGAGCTCCATTGAGGTTTCCTTCCTTCTCTTTACAAAAAATGGTGGGGTATCAGAAGTGGCCCCACCCCCACCCCCTGTGAGTGTTTGCTTTATTTGCCCTGGTGTTTCATTTCTTTTGTGTATCTACAAGTATTAGTTATACAGAATAGAAAATGTTGACTTGATTTTAGCAGTGAGGCAGTGCCAAGCTTCATTGTGTCATCTAAAGACAAGAAATGACCCACAAATCCAATATGCTTTTGGTTAACAGGATACCGCATTCCCAGCCCTGGAGTCATCTTTAGGATGGAAAAAGAAAAGGAGACACAGGCAGGGAAGACTGAATTCCCAGGCCAGCAGTGTCCAGGTGAGCCATTGCTTCCCACGTCGGGGTAGAGTTCATGAGGCCTTTGTCAGTTTGTCTCACCAAGTCCCCTGTAGTGGTCACCTTTACTCTGTTTTCCCCTTTGGAGTTTTTATGGTTAATTCTGCAATCCATTTATTATTGGTGTAAGGCAATGTGAGACTTTCTTTATGAAAGCTGAGTTTGTGGGACCAGCTTCTCTGACCCTACATAGATAAGAATGAACCTAAGTGAACTAACTCATCCATTTTCTAATAATGATGACCAGTTACTCTCCCATGTGTAAATGCACACTTGTTCATGAACATCTGACATTAGCCAAGTTGGTCACTATATTGTCCAAGTAATGGAGGAAGGACTGATTGACTTTTGAATTAGCATTTGTCCTTGGGGTTCTTATTATTGTTTATTTTGTGTCTGTCTTTGCTTTTCCTGTCTGTCTCTGAGTTCATTGATTTTTTTTTTTTCTTTCCTGTGCTGGTCCATCTCCCCTTAGGCTTAGTGTTCTGTATGTTTCTCTTCTCATTCTGTGGCAGGTTTTCCTTCAAGGCTCTGTTCCTTCTGAATGTGCATTTCTCCCTGTGTTCTCATGGTTTCTTGGTCCCTGCCCTTCTAGTCTCCGCTGCCTTGTTTAGATGTATGAGGACATTCCTGCAAGAGGATCCGCTTCCGTCATTTTGGGAGATCGGAAACTGGAATCTACCTCATTCAAGTTAGAAAGTCTTTTTTCTTTTTCTTTTCTTTTTTCTTTTTGTCTGGCTGATTATCCTTCTCTTCTGAACTATTTTAATTTGTTTTATTATTTTGGGGCCCCTACCCATTTTCCTTTTTGAAAATGGAGTTATTTTTCCTAACCCCATCGGCATCAGTATAGACCATCTCTTTCTTCAGTTATTTGTTTATTTCTGTGGTATTTTACTTATTTATTTTTTTGGTTATTATTGTTATTTTTCAGGCAGGTTTCTATGTAGCCCTGGCTGTCCTAGAACTCACTTTGTCGATCAGGTTGTTTTGTACTTATAGAGATCCACCGGCCTCTGCTTCCCAACTGCTGAGATTAAAGGCCTGTGCCACCATGTCTGGTACTTTCTTATTTAGGTTAAGTTTTCCTTATGTGATTTATGGATTCCACTTAAGACATGTTATCAATCTAAATGTTATTGCAGCAAATGATGTTATTTTGGTTTTTGATACATTTAGTTAGAAACATGCAACTAATTTCTATTATATAAGGTTCAGTAACTTTCTGATGTTCTTTGTAGTGCAATCGATTAAAACTCAGAGACAGAAATTGGGGTTCAGCCTAAAGGGTCAGAAAAGTAAAACAGCCAGCCACTGGCTCTTGCCTCAACCTCAGTCCAAAATGGCGATCCTGCTTCCAGGAATCTCAGAACGAGACTGTGTCTGGAGCTGTCTCCTCCCGTCTCATATTCCTCTCTGGTCCTGGGATTAAAGGTTTGTACCACTGGGATAAAAGGCCTGCACCTCCCAGTTTCTATGGCAGACTAGTGTGGCTACTGGGATTAAGGTGTGTGTTATTGTGGCCTGGTCTGTAAGACTGGCCAGTGTGGCTGTTTTACTCTCTGAACTTCAGGCAAGCTTTATTTATTAAAATATAAATGAAATATCACTAAAGTTTTTATCATGTTTATATATTTCTATCTTAAAAATACAACTGGATAGTTTATATGCTTCATCCTCTGCTCCATTGTTGTCGTAATTATACTAATGTCTGCTGTGTAGGTGATCCCCATTGTATACAGTTGTGATTAGCTTCTTTTTACTAATTGTCAGCATCATCAGCATCATTAGTAACTGATTTAGGCATTCATATTCAGTCTCAGTCCCTCTGTCATTCACCCTTCATCCTGTTCACTCTGTTTTTTCTTTCATCTCTTTATGTTCCTAGAAAAATCAGAAACCTCAGCACAGAAAGTATCTGAGGAAGCTTCAGTTCACAGTGATCTGACCAGTGAAGTCACAAGAAATGGTTTGTGGTGTTCACTTTTGCAAGAACTACGGCAGGATTCTGATACTGCTAAGAGAGATAAACAAAACCAGATTCTGCCCTTGCCTCCTGGCTCCTTCCTCAAGAAAACTCTGAGCACAAATAATGGACATGAGTATCAAAAGCCCAGGGAAACCGTTCCTTTGGGACCCTACCTCATTTCTACACAAGAGAATCTTCCAGAATATTGCTTACTTCCAAAAAGTTTGGAGCTAAACCTTGGAGCAAATGGTCAGAATGAAAGCAGTGTCACCGAACAGCTTATTAACATTGTCGCAGCCAGTCAGCTCCTGGTACGAGGCTCTTGTAATGCTAACTGTGTGGTTGCTCATGGAGGAGAATCGTGCAGAAGTACTGGGAATGGAGAAGTTCTCAGCTATCAACAACCACCGGTACATGAAAACCATTCTCAGGAGAAAGCAGATCAAGGCTCTCGGTGCGGGGAAGCACTCTATGCCGTATCTTTGCCCAAACCTGAGATCACTCTCACTTTGGACAGACCTCTTGTTTCGTTCATTGGTGGGAAGGCCTTCCTTTATGTGTCGGATTCATCGAGTGATCCATTCCAGCTGAAGGTGGATCATCCAGTTCACACTGGAGGGGAACCTTACAAATGCAGCCGTTGTGAGAAAACCTTTTGTACTAAAGCTGCACTCCAAGAGCATGAGCAAATTCACACAGAGGAGAAACCGTATGTGTGTACACTGTGTGGAAAAGCCTTCAGAGACAGGTCAGCTCTCTATGAACATGAACTGATTCACAAGAATCACACGCCTTTTATCTGTGACAAATGTGGGAAGGCCTTCTTACGTAAGTCAGAGTTGATGTCCCATAAACAAAGTCACAATGGAGAGAAGCCTTACAAATGCAATGACTGTGGAAAATCCTTTAAATTTCCGTCCCAGCTGAAGGTGCATCGTCAAAGTCACACGGGCGAGAAGCCTTATGAATGCCAGGAATGTGGAAAGTCTTTCAGCAAAACGGCCAAACTCAAGGTGCATCAGCGGATTCACACGGGGGAGAAGCCTTATGTGTGTTCTCAGTGTGGAAAGGCCTTCAACCAGAAGTCAATACTAGACAGACACGAGAAGCTTCACCCCGGGGAGAAGCCTTACAGCTGCAGGGAGTGCGGGAAGTCCTTTAATTACCCGTCCCAGCTGAAGGTGCACGGCCACAGCCACACGGGGGAGAAGCCTTACAAGTGCCATGAGTGCGGGAAGTCCTTCAACTTTCCCTGTGAGCTGAAAGTGCATTATCAGAACCACACAGGAGAGAAGCCGTACAAATGCCGTGAGTGCTGGAAACTGTTCAGTAAAATGTCCCAACTGAAGGCACATTCTCGTGTTCACACAGGAGAAAGACCTTACAAATGCAGCCACTGTGGAAAAGCCTTCTCTACGAAGGAACAAGTCCAGGAGCACGAGCGGATCCACACAGGGGAGAGACCCTTTGTGTGCACCGAGTGTGGGAAAGCCTTCAGCAGCAGGTCCTCTTTCCGTAAACATCAGTTAATCCACACGAAAGAGAGGCCTTTCGTCTCTCAGAAGTGTGAGACAGGCCTCCAGGAGCCGACTTTGACATCCCACCAGCAGCTTCATATTGGCGAGAAGCCTTACAAGTGCCCTGACTGCGGGAAGCTGTTTAATTATCCATCCCAACTGAAATCACATTACCAAATCCACACAGGAGAGAAGCCTTGCAAATGTCTTGATTGTGGGAAATCATTTAGTAAAACTTCTCAACTGAAGGCACATTCTCGAATTCACACAGGGGAGAGGCCTTACGTGTGCTCTGTGTGTGGAAAGGCCTTCAAACAGTTGTCAACATTGAGCAGACATGAAAAAATTCACCTGCTTGAGAAGCCTTACAAATGCAACTTTTGTGGGAAATCATTTTGTTCTCCATCTGAACTGAAGGTGCACCTTTTAGTTCATACGGGAGAGAGGCCCTACAGATGCGGCAGCTGCTGGAAAGCCTTTTGCACTAAGGTCCAGCTCCAGGAGCACGAGCGGATTCACACAGGAGAGAGACCCTACGTGTGCGCTCACTGCGGGAAAACCTTCCGAAGCAGGTCGGTTTTCTCTAAGCATAAGCTGATTCACAGGAAGGAAGCGCCTTTTGTCTGTGAGAGGTGTGGGCAAGCGTTCTTACACCCGGCTGAGCTCACGTCTCATGTACAGATGCACACTGAGGACAAGCCTTAGGAACGGCGAGACGGAGCATGCCGTCAAATTACATGGCGAAGCATCTGTGGGGAAGTCTTGCTTCCTAACGCCCTACGCCGACAGCGTGAACAAATGGCATCACCCAGGAGAGACCCTTTGTGCTCTGAGTGGGGAGCAGCTTTCAGTAGCAGGCTAACTTTCTAGACATCACATGTCTCATGCTAGGGTGCATACTGATACTTTTTATGATCTAACAAATAAAGCTTTCCTGAAGATCAGAGTACAAAGTTAGCCACACTAGTCAGCCATAGAGGCCAGGCGGTGGTGGTGTATGTTTTCAATCCCAGCACTAGAGAGTGTAAGATGGGAGGAGACGGGAACTCGCTCTCTTTTCAGTGTGAAGATTTCATAGAGGTAGAGCTCTCTAGTGGCTTGACTGCTTTGCTTTCCTGATCTTCACGTTGAATCCAGTATCTTCTGTGGGTCTGTATTAGTCGTGCTACAGGACGAGGTCTTTGTCTCTCAACTCATATTGAAGAGAAGGTTTTGGAATGCCACAATTGGGAAACCATTGCTGTATCACAGATCAGTCACCTCATCAGTTCATGGGTCGGGATGCCCTATGTGTGTTCTGAATGAAGGTCCTAAGCAGGACAGAACTCAGCATATAAACTACATGGCTCATACCACAGGTTTTACAGGTGCAGTTTTATAGAACATGGTTTACTGAGAAAAGAGTTCCTAGCTTACTAGTATATTTCAAAATGAAATTTATTTCTATCTACTTGAAGTTCTTTTTATGTGCCATCTAATTGCACATCACCTGATTAATATTACAGAAAACAAATCTAGTTATGCATTGTTTAAACATTACTATGCATGAGGAAAGTTAGTCACTAATTAACTAATAATGATAAGCACACTTGTTTATATTTGTCTTGTTAAACATGAATTTCATTTCAGGTTAACCTTGACTAATTTCAGAAGTGTTTTTATAGAATATAAGACACATTTTACCAAATTATTAGTAAATTTATGGGAAATTAAGTCAGTGATATTCCTGTTTATTGTGGGAGCCCAGTAAAATCGTTAACTACCAGCCATGGTAATAGTAGGGTGATTATCTGAATGGGTGTGAGTGTGTGTGTGTGCACGTGTGCCTGTGTTTGTTTATATGAATGGGCGTGTGTGTGTGTACACGTGTATGTGTGTGTGTGCACGTGTGCCTGTGTTTGTTTATATGAATGAGCGTGTGTGTGTGTGTGTGTGTACACGTGTGCCTGTGTTTGTTTATATGAGTGGGCGTGTGTGTGTACACATGTGTGTGTGTGTGTACACGTGTGCCTGTGTGTGGTCAGTGACTGTATGAACTTGTATGTAATCCCACAATTTTGTGGGATTTTCTGTAGAATTAACTGCATTCTAGAAGAGGGCAGTTTATTATTAAGATTACATTCATTTATTTTGTATATATTTATGTACACATGCTGCTGGGTGTTTGTGACTGTCAAAAGATCATGAATTGGTAAGAGTCCATGATCTCACACCATGTGGATCCTGGGGTTTGAACCTGGAGTGTCAGGCTTGGTGATCATCAATTACCTTTACCCACTGAAACATCTTGCTGTGACTGTTATTTTTACTTTTTATTAACAATCTCTACCTTGAACTTGCACCATCAATAATTAATACTTTTTTATTGTATGGGTGTACTTTAAATAAATGAGATCTAGGACATTCACTGCTCACGTTGCCTTTCTTTTTTGTGCTTAGCTGAGGTCTATTATGCCTTTTGTGTGTGTGTGTGTGTGTGTGTATGTATGTGTGTGTGTGTATGTATATGTGTGTGTGTGTGTGTGTGTAGCCTATGTGGTGATATTGGAACCAACCATTAGTCTGTTATTTGGGTGTGACTGCTGGTATTTGTGAGCTGTTGCACACATGTAGAGGTCAGAGGACAACTTCTAGGAGTCCATTTTTCTCCTACCTCTGGGTACAGAATCTCTGGTTTCTGCTGTTGCTGCTGCATGGTCCAGACTGGCGGTTTTGTGAGCTTCCAGGAGACAGTCTCCTTTCCCAGCAGTCTGTCCGTCCTGTCAGACGGGTCTCCTTTCCCAGCAGTCTGTCCGTCCTGTCAGACGGGTGCTGTGATACAGATGTGCTGCACTGTATCTGACTTTTTAAAGTGGGCTTTGTTTATTGAATTTAGATTTTGTATTTTTTTTGGGGGGGGGGTTGGTTTTTTTCAAGACAAGGTTTCTCTGTATCTTTGGTGTCTTGTCCTGGAACTCCCTCTGTAGACCAAGCTGGCCTTGAACTCACAGAGACCCAGCTGCCTCTGCCTCCCAAGTGCTGGGATTAAGGGTGTGCGCTGCCACTCCCACCCCCCCCCCCACTTGAATTTAGGTTCCTTCCTTCCTCCCTCCCTCCCTCCCTCCCTACCTCCCTCCTTCCTTCCTTCCTTCCTTTTTATCTTATTTTATTGATATTTATTGAGCTCTACATTTTTCTCTGCTCTCCTCCCTGCCTCTCTCCTCCCCCCTTGAACCCTCCCCCCTCCCCCAAAGTCCCCACGCCCCCAATCTACTCAGGAGATCTTATGCTGCCACTGTTCCCGGGACGTCTGGCCAGCCAGGTGGGTACACGCTCACCCCTCTGGATGGATCTCCTCCCCTCTACTTTATTTTTCAGACACTCTTTTTATTTCCCCACACCAAGTTCGTTATAAGAGGAGGATTTCCTCATAACCAGAAGTTACATAGTTACTACATAATCACCATAAAAATATTTTTTTTATTTTTTTGTAACAGGCCAACCCCATTATATTTCTTAACCACGACCTTACGCATTTTCTTACAAAGCCACATTCAGTTAAGCATTTTTCTTTGAGACTTCTCACAGGTCGGGAGCCTTCCAGCCATAGCTGTTTACCTAGGCAGTAGTTTTTGTAGTTGCCAGAAAAACAAGTTACTTGTTTTGTCTTTTATGTTTTAGCATCCTGTATAATTAACTAACCATCCAATTCTTTGTTTTTTTCATCACATGAAGGCAATTATTTAGACCTTTGTTTACATTTCCCAACATCAAAAAGAATTTGAGTTAGTCTGTCTCCTGGGACTGGATTGTTTTCCTTAATCATTAACCTAAACCATAGTCTATACCACTCAAGCCAAGCAGAGATTTTAGCTGTGTGGCACTTCCTTGTTCCTATTTTCTATCCTCTGCAGTCCCTGCTTCATCAGGAGCAGGGGCAATACTGTATCCTACCTTTGCCTATATTAATTTTCCCAATAAACTAATAATCCCTTATTACATTTTTAAACCTTCAATCATCAAAATTCTATTTAATCTAAAACTATTGTATAAAATCATTACTTTAGTCAAGCAGTACAGCTTAAGAGGAAATCATCTTCATAATAATCCACAAGTAAAAATGCCCAGTAGAGTGGGGGTATTTCCATGAGATAATCACAATACGTAAAGGCAGTGGGGGTCCCCCACATCTATTTACACAACACGAAAAGGCAGTGGGGGGTCTCCCACATCTATTTAAACCATGCCAGATACCAGAGAAAAAATAACTGGCAAATATGTGAAGGCACAGCAGTAGCAGGAGACGTGGAGCTGAAGCCCTGGGGGCCTTGCCTAGCGGAGATGAAGCCATCAGTGCTTTGCATTCTGGTGAGCCAAACTCTTGAAACTCAATTGTCACCTGCTGCTCCTTTGACTTGGTCACCGGTAGTGAACACCATGATAGAGAATGTCATACGATTTGATTAAAAAGCGCATGCCTTTAATCCCAGCACTCGAGGCAGAGGCAGGTGGATCTTTGTGAGTTCGAAGCCAGCCTGGTCTACAAGAGCTAGCTCCAAGACAGGCTCCAAACCTGTCACGAAAAAAACAACAAGCAAACAAACAAAAAAACAATAAAAAAAGGCCACTCCTCAGCTCCCAGATATTCCAAACCCTTTGATAGTGCTAAGAATTAAGCACAATGTAGTAATGGCATGGTCTCAGCCCAAGGGAAACTATCCTGTTGCCAAATGGGGTACAGACAAACACCCCTCCAAGATAGCTCTTATGGGATACTTGGAGAAGCAGAATTGGAAATGGGGCATTCAGATGACACCCTGCTGGGATCCCCAGTGTTGATGTGAAAAAAACCACATCTCTCACCTTAAAGGGAATAAGGAGATCATTTATTCTCGCCTTAAAGGGAATAAGGAGATCATTTATTCTAGAGCTGTATTTGCGTGACCATGACTCAGGAACACAGATTTAGGTTACCCCAAATTTCTTGTTTCACTGTGGAGACAAGCTTCATGAAGTTTTATTGTTTTACACAGCAAAGAAGATCATTATTAAAGCAATTTCAAAATACGTCATCAGAAAGGTGGTCATAGCAAGATGGGGGAGGCTCTCCTGTAGGTCTCAGATGCCATTTGGGGTTGATGGGAGTGAGTGGTCTGCTAAATCAATAGATCCCAGAGGTTTTATTAGGAACAGGCTGATGGTTCTGACAGAGGTGAGGAAGGATGGTGGTTCCAGCCGCTCAAGCTAGCCTGAGATGGACTGGAGTATGGTGCATCCGTTAAGAACACTGCCTTTTCAGAGGACCAAGTCCAGCTTCCAGCACTCATATGGCAGCTCATGGGCCTTTTAATTGCAGCTACAAGGATCTGACACCCTTTTCTGACTGTTGCATGCACATGGTTCCCCAGGCATACATACAGGTAAGCCAACTATGAAATAATGAACTTAATAACAGCCTACCCCAAGATAAGGTGATTAGTCTGTGGACCTGTGGCACTGCAGCTCTCCCACATCCCTGCAGTTCTAATCCACCCTGGCAGACACTGCTTCTTTCCAGACGTGACACCAAGGATTATTAACTGCTGACCCTTGGATGCCCTGACCCTTCACCACTTGGCAGCCTTGCTGCATTTACCCTGATGATCTCTTCGCATAACCTTAGGATAGTACCTTCTCTCATTAGACTCTGGTATGTCTTTCCTGAGACCACTGTAACAACCTCTTGCCGCTTCTCCTTTGTCAAGCAGGTCTTCAACCCTTCCTTTGAAATTCACCTCATCCATTCACACTTACTAGAAAGAAGGTTTGAAGGGTTGTGTTTGTTTTTTATGCTTGTAAGGGCTTTCCCCAGGTCGGTTTCTTGATTCAGCCCAGGAACCATGCTCTAAAACTCTTAATGGTATGGAAAAACAAGGCTTTGGTAACATCAAAGAGGTTCTCTCTTTGTGTGTATGCAAGGGGTGTAATAAAGAAACTGCCAGTATGTCCACTCCATTATCATCGGGGACACCGAGGAGCAGGTTGGCAGTTGC